TGCCAAAGCAAGCAGGGTAACCGTACATATCGAGTGGCTCGGACTCGCGCGGCACAGCGGGAGCTAGCCCGGAATCGTGGAGAACGCTATTTGCATCCTGGGGCTGATCTTGTCCTTAACGCGACTTGGCTTCGCCGTTTCAGCACTTCGCCCCTCCCTGTTGGCGCGCGACTGTGGTACAAGGCCCGTGATGGATTGTGGTGGACCGGACGCATTGGTGCTCATCAGGGCGGCTCGTACATCGTTCGATTTTGGATGACCCGAGCCCAAGCGTTCTGCCTCTCCCTGCGCACCTCTACTCCACCGCCTTGGACGCCGCCTGTGGATTGCGTTGAATTTTCCCTTTGCGTCGCGTCCAGTATCAAAGGCCGCATTCGTTCGGAATTTTGTTTGGGTTTTGAGTTTCGTCACCGTATTTTGGACTCGCTCGGGTAGTCACCCTCATTCCTCCAGCGGTGATACGCGCGGGTACGCGTAAAAAAGTGGTGTATGGCGTCTAGATAATGATTTTTTTCCCTGTTGTCGTCTGTTCAGGATGATAGCGTGCTCTGCCGCTATATATATTCTTCGTAGCTTTATCCCTTCAAGCGTTGTCATTGAGATGTCGATGTTCCGTCTCGTGACCGTTCGCATTCTTCATCTCAATGATGGTGTGGGGGATCGATTCGGGATATTTCTACAACTCACTCTCTTTTTGGATGTTTCGTGAAGAGTCATATCTTCGATTCATGATCATAAATCATCAGCTAAGTATTACTATAGCTTTAGGGTTTGATCATTGATTTGAGTATAGAATCTGCATATTTGATATTCAGGGTGGGCTAGTGTTAAGGAGTGTGGCTGCTAGCATGAATAGGGTACATTTTATTGTTGATAGGATGCGGGTCGGTCAGAAGGCATACCCTTCTGACCCCTACCCCCTTAGAATTGTCTACTCTGTGTACCCCCTGAGATGAAGTTGGATCCCCACTTCATCCCAGACCCTTGCTGATCGTCTCTCAGCAATAACAAGCAACTTTCCCATCTCAACGTGGTCGTGGACAAGCGTNGCGGGTCGGTCAGAAGGCATACCCTTCTGACCCCTACCCCCTTAGAATTGTCTACTCTGTGTACCCCCTGAGATGAAGTTGGATCCCCACTTCATCCCAGACCCTTGCTGATCGTCTCTCAGCAATAACAAGCAACTTTCCCACCTCAACGTGGTTGTGGACAAGCGTGTCAACGACAGAGCCTTCATCTATCTCAAGGTGCAAGCTACCGCCCACGGCATCACTCCTTGAAAACTACCGGTACCCTACTTCAACACAACAGCAGTTTTTTAGGAACCAAAAGGGGGCAATTGCTGCCCTTGTCACCCCACCCCACCCACCACAAGTCGGGCCTCTGACGGTAATGAATATGCGTAATAATCGAACGAAGAAAACACTAAAAGCAGGGGCCCGGCCACACCTAAGTTCCTCTGCCTCCCATTCCGAGGACATGTCGCTTTGCTCCTGGTCGCCAGGCCACAGCGCGGAGGCGCTCAACCACGATGTTCTCCATATCAATTGTCCCGTGCAAGACGGACACCTCCGAGACGTTGAAGTACCCGGCGATCGCCCGCACCTCGTCCGCACTTCCCAACCGAAAGAGGAACACTGCCGCACGTTCACATGGGTTCGCAAACGGCTCTGTGTTGTCGGCGCGGAACATGTACGTCGTCCCATGCAGTGCCTGCACCAGGTGCCGGAACGTGGCATTTCTGCACAAGGAATAAAGGCGGAGGCATCGATCACACGCCAAAACACCAGAAGGGTCGTTGCGCGAGTGCAAGGGGTCGGCGACAAGTTTCGACGAAAAAAACTAGGAGTGATGTGTGTTGTTGTTGTTGATACTGTTGTTTTTTCTCACATTATTTCTTGTCCACATTGTCTAGCGCCGGTGGGCACAATAGCAAGACACAAACGCCGGAAAGAAGAACAGAAAAATACACACACACAGGGTAACGACAGGTACGGGTGCCCTACCAGGCGACGGTCACTGTCCCTCAACGCATACCACAACACATATCGGGTACATACAGCTTGAATAACAATGAGAAACTACGTTTAACAAACCAGCTTCAGTATCAGGCCAGACCAAGAGAGATATACGGGGGGTACACGGCTTCCCCACCCGCATATTGTGCACGAGGGTTCCATATCGTTTTTTTCCGACCAGGCACCTCCCTCCCGCGCCCCCCTCCGCCTAGAACAAGTGTCTAGTGGATTGTGTTTGGACTTCGGGGTCTGGCGACCTTCTCACCCTCAATCATATTGGTCAAGTCCTGCCACCGTATATGCACGCCGAGAGGAGGGTCCACCATCACTGTAGCGAAAAATATAGACTGCAACGCGGCAAATACTACCTAGATTTCATTGTGAACAATAGCGAAATATAAACCAACCGATGTTGCATTTAAAATCTCTCTCGTCATCGCACAAGGACATGAAGTCGCTGAAAGCAGGCGATTTTGTGACACACTGATGCCCCCTGTTTCAGACTCTTTTGAAAGTTGAGCCTCTCTTTGTGAAAGCAGAATTGTTTTTCTGATATTCTTACACCAACATGTCGGCCTGCTGTTATTGTTTTCAGTAGATCACAAAGGACATGTTTACAGGAATGCCCGCCCGACGGTGGCTTGCCTCCTAGATGTAGTAGATGTAGATTCTGCCGTAGACACTCTTGTCCACGAGCACGTTGAGATGG